TATAAATTTCAACCTCAAAAAGTGTTTATTTTTGTTTGTGATTTTCTTCCGATACTCATTTTTCGATGCTACCCACAGTAAAATGGAAAACTACTGTAAAAAATAAATTTTCCAAGTAAAATTAGGTCACCGTCGAAAAGCGAAACGTCAAAGTCGTCCAAAAATGTCAGAAATTTGAAATAAGGGAAGTTTACTGCCTCGCACTAACCATACACAAATAAAGACAAGCAGTAACCTTATTAAGGAAATCCTTATTTTCAGACCCAAATGCGCATGCGTAGATGTCAAAATAAGGCTAATTTAAATACTGCTTGTCCTTATTGCACGTCCAATAACTCTCTACTAACTGTTCAAAATCCACGCAAATAAAATAAAATATCGTCTCCGTGCATTAAATAATAAAACAACATATTCAGAACGCCAGCAAAAAATTGTTTATCGTGATAAGGATTTAGATTTTAACTTTTTTTGTTCAGCACACATTTCTAAAGGTACCCATTCACTTACAGATAGCCTGCAGTCCAGAACTGCCGATTTGCATATCGTCAGTTAAAATTTCTCCATACACATTCAGGCCGTCGACAGGTCTGAGCCTGCAGTTCACTTGAATCTAACGACGGACTAGAGTGTATGGAGAAAAATCGTCAGTTGATATCGTACGATCCCATCTTCAAACTAGTTGGAAGTTTTCATGATTCCGATTTTGTGAAATGGCCGAGTCAAGCAATAATACAGAGTTTTTAACCGGATTTATTGATATTTATAGGCAATTGCCTTGTCTTTGGAAAGTAAAGAGCAAGTCCTACTCAAATAGGCACGAAAAAAACAAAGCATACGAAAAATTATTATTGTTTTATAAACAGACTAATCCAAATGCAACAATTGATTCTTTGATATTAACGGCTTAACCAAGCTTAAGAGTTCTTTAAAACATGCGTCATCCATTCTAAGGTAATTTTTAAGGTCGTCTGTTGCACTAGTTCTTAATTTTCGCACCAGTCTCATATGAGATAAAGTATCACATTGTAACAGCCAATCTTTTACCCAAAAACGTTTTTTTGCTTTTGTTATCGGCTCTTGCAATAATAATAGCTCAAGAAGTGCGGCTAGTTGTTCCTTTCTATTAGTACGAAACATTTTTCACTATACAGCGAGACTGTTCGATTAGCACTGACAAAATGTTTGTATGTGTGGCGAAAGCTCAGTTTTCCTTCAGTTCAAAAACTGACAGTCTTAAAACTGAGGTCGCATCGTTTCAGGGTTGGTTAAATTGGGCCAAAGCTACGTAATTTAATGCTTAACAAAATGCCGCTTTGATATTTAGGATATTACGAATACTTCCGGAGATATCCGGGAAAAACAGAAATTTTGCAAAATTGTTTTTTTCTACAAACGTGTTAAAAAAGCAATTTTTAACACCGCCCCGAAGCATTAAAAATGTTACTTTATCGCACTAGTGCCATAAAGTCTTTATAGCACTAGTGTTAAAAGTGAAACATCAAATTTTGAGAGCGGACGTCAAAAAAAGTTTGTATTTTCAGTTATTTACATTGATATTAATGGTGAAATTTGAACAACTGAGGTAGCCCGATTGGCCGCCTCATCTATATTTTTCGAAGGATCGATGCAACTCTCTTTTTCTTCTCTATTTTGTTGCATTTTCAGCAAAAAGCATTCCTGACCACGACATACTTTCAAGAAACTGACAAGACATTTCGTTACCTGTAAAACAAGGTGCTGGTTGTATGGATTTTTTGACAAATGTCAAATTCAAGAATTTTATGTAGGAAAGATGCTTCCAATTTATTATTCATTTAAAAATACAATTTGTTAGTGGTTATTGCTTTTTATTGCCGTTTGTAGAAAAAATATTGTATGATATTTGTGTTAAAAGTATTTTTAAGGCACTTATGTGAATTGCAGAATTCGCTTCGCTCATTCTGCAAACTTTCACATGCGTGCCTTAAAAATGTACTTTTAACACTTATATCATAAATAACTATTATTTTTTCTTGTCTTTATTTGAAGTGATATTTTTGAAAAAAATTGTCACTTCATCATAGCCACTTTTTCTTCCCTGCAAAGTGCTACCATCAAATTTAAATTGACGTTTCGTCTTTGGCCCACCATCATCAACTTAATTTTTTTAAATAAAGACCCTTATTTTTTATTTTGGATTTTATAATCTTCTGATGTCCCAAAACCAATGGCGTATTGCACTTATTCGAAAAATTTATATTATTGGCACTTACCATGAGAAATAAATGTGTTAGAGAGAGACAGAGATGAGAATGGTGGTTCAAGGACGAAACGTCAGATTTTAAATTTGATGGTAGCATCTTGTAGTGGAGAAAAAGTGGCTATGAAAAGTGATATTTTTATTAAAATATCACTTCAAATAAAGTCAGGGAAAAAAAAACAATTTTGCATTTCGGTTTTTTCCGGATATCTCCGGAAGTATCCGGATTATGCTTAATATCAAAGCGGCATTTTGTTAAGCATCAAATTACGCAACTTTTTCCCGATTCAACCAGGCCTGTATCTTTCACCGTTTCCGAGATTCCAATGATGTGTCTTGAATTTGAAACACCCTGTACCTACACGTATGCTGATCATTTTCGGATGGATTTTACTTCATAAATATCGATTGGTATGCTCGGCATACGTTATACTATCATTCTAAAGCTCGTTTTTGTTTTGAACAATAAACAATTAACTTCTTCAGTGCAAGTCCTGCAGTCACCCGCTAATTTTTCTTGCCGGTTGACAAGCATATGCATAATTACCAGAACCTCAGAGGGCATACGTTATACTATCGTTGTACTTTCTACGGTCTATTACGGTATTTTGAAGACTTTGTTGCCATATTTTGACGTTTAATGGTATATCCAAGGCCAAAGGGCTTAAATCCAAAAAGTGACAAAAACGTCTAGAGGTATTGATGTTACCTTGGTAACAAACCATATTGTAATGACTAAATTTTTTTTTTTCCGAAATGGCACAAACACAAACATTTTGATTTTTTACATCACCTACTTTATCGACCCGTATATCACAACCCAGGGGTCCTATAAAAAATTCACAACAAGTAGCTTTATCCGGAAGAAACAGGCTATTAAACTGCACAAACCACATTAAAAAAAAAAAATTAAAAAGACTTTTGTCGAAAATATGAAACTTTGAATTTTGCCTAAAAATCTGTATGTGTAAGTTCGAGTGTCCAGCAGTTTATATGCCATCCGGTTTCTTCAAATCTTTGAACTGCTCTCACAATAATTGTAGATTTTGATATAGGCTTTCGGTTTGGAAAAGTTGTATTAAATAGTTCCTTTGTTTCGCTGACTGACCTTTGTCGGCAGTGGCGTAGCCAGGATTTTGTCTTGGGGGGGGGGGGGGGGGCAAATTTGCAGGAAGTGTTTCTTGCGGCCCCACCGCGACTGCTGTTTAAGGGTCTTGGGAGGGGGGGGGGGGGGGCAAATGCCTTTCCCCACCCCTGGCTACGCCAGTGTTTGTCGGTCTCCAAAACCTCTGAGAGCTGAGAGACTTTTTCAGAATTTACTTGGACAGTGACGCAAAAAATTCTAGTACCAATGGTGTAAAAATACGAAATAAGGAGTACCTACCTAGGGTATCAAATGCTTCCACTAACTCCGCCCCCACTTTACTATCGCATATTTGGCAACTTTGAAATTGAAATCAGTGCTAAAAAAGTATATCCTTACCCTTATACTTCACATGATTTAAGAAAAAGATGCGGATACACTTAGTGCGCACTGATTGACAAATGGAAATTGCCAGAAAATACCTGCAGGTCGCATTTTGACATGACAATTGAATAGATGCCGCTGATTGGTGGAAAGGTGGAATTCGAAAAATAATCGCTTTCCACGTGTTAGAGAAAGATACAAAATAGCACAAGGATTAATAAGTAGTGGGGGGGATGCGGTTCTTGGATGTAGTCAACCTATATAATTGTTTACAGTTCCGTCTATCTGTGTTAATATGTCATTGGTAAAATCATACTTGTGGTATTTATGTCCTCCAACTCAAATTATTTCTGAAACTAATGCTCTTAGCCAATATGACAATACAGGGTGAGTTACTAAGCGCGCGGTGGTCCATATCTCCTATACTAATGGAGATCGGAGAAAAAACTAAATACAAAACTTATAGATAAACATGCGTGAGTACTACATTCCTAAATTATTTTTTAGTATACATGGTGGCCCAATAACTAGTAGTGACACAAAGTTTTGTTTTTTTAAATGACTCCCCCTGTATATTATGACATTTCTAGATTCTGCGGAAAATCAAGACATATTACATGTATAATGTCATCTACCTTGCTAAAACTTTTTCGGAAATATTGACAGTTTAAAATTGACTTATTTGCATCTTTGACTGACTGTGAAACCTAAATGGTTAATTTTAGAGGAAAACGGATTTCACATTCCTGTCTTAGATTTTCATGAGCTATCATTTGACACCAACTTTGAATTTAACCGACGATTATTAATTTAGGTGGAATTTTTAATCATGGATTAAATTTAAGATTGGTGCCAAATGATAGTTTATGAAAAACTAACATAGGAATGTAGAATCCATTTTCATTGGTGCCATTCCAGATACCTGTAGTTTATAGTTCATTGGTTTTGGTATGTCCAGGTAACTTACAATCATGATTTATTAATAAAAATTTTGATAAATATCGTTTACCGAAAAACCTGCCAGCTCCTATACTATAACTATCTAAAGTCCGGATGAGCGAAGTCCAGATGTTCCAAACGCTTAAAAAAACAAAATATATGACAGTACTGTCACAGTATTATGTTTTCTGATGAAAGAATGTAGATATTTTCTTGTAAGTATCTGATATCTTTATGATCTCATTCTTATCTTGATTCACTGACATCACAGCCACGCCAGCCTAATATTGCATACTTAAAAACGGAAAATGATAAATAAAAATTAGGATATAATCAGCTCATTTCCCTATGTAGGCAAAGTTCGCAGGATCAAGCAGGCCCGAGACGAAGCCCAAATCGAAATCGAGGCCTACAGACGTGAGAGGGAAAGGCAATTCCGGGAATACGAAGCCAAACACATGGGCTCCAAAGAAGACGTCGCCATGAAAATCGACAAAGATACTGAGGCCTACTTGAAAAACATGGAAAAATTGGTTGAGGATAATAAGGAAAAGGTATACAATATTTATATTTTATTAAGAAATAACTTTTTGCCTTAACAATTTTGTTCTTTATAGGTTATCGAGGATTTGATTAGTCTATGTGTGGATATTACTCCTGAAGCTCATCCCAATTACTTCGTTTTGAGAACTTTCAATAAGATTTAGATACAAGTAGATGTATGATTAAACTTTTAAATTAGAGTAGACAGTATATTACTGAAATGGACCAACAAACAAGGGCAATATTATTAGGTATAGAGAAATTGGAGAATGTTGCAAGGCAAGACAAGTATTTTTGTTTGTTTGAAATATATCATTTTTGATTGGTTTTGATTTTCTATATCTACTTACGTTTACGAGCTTCTGTTACAGTTTCAGCTGCCCTCTTTTCGGCAGCCAAAAGTTGCTGCACTGGATCACAGTGCGGTACTTGCGTTTGATGATTGTTAGCGTTATGATTTCCAGTATGTCCGCCCGGCATTTTTTTTTTCTGTTTTCCCTTTTCTCCACCCAAAAAACTCCAAATCTGTAAGTAGGAATGAAAAAAAGAAACACCAATTTCACAGAAACTTTTTCGAATTATTGGCAGTTGTCAAATTTAAAATGACGGTTGCAAAATTTTTGCAATTTTGACTCACATTACATGGCAAACTTCGAGTTTTGACTACTGAGTAGGTCTTTCCCAACATGATGCATTTCATGGAAATAATAGAAAAATTGCCTTCCACCTTTTTTCGGTTTGGAGCGCCACTATGTCGTAAAGATTGAAAATATGAAATACATTCATATGTTTCACCTTATTTACAGATAATTGCAAAAAAGTGCTTGCCAAAGCTACTTATCGGGATAGGGATAGTTTCTGGAGGGATGTTCATGGGACAATATATATTTGTAAAAATGTTGAAAATGTAGTTTTAATGCAACGGCAACTCTACATAAATTACACAAAAATATTAAAGAAAATACATGTACATACCTACTCTTAAAATAAATATTATGCTCCCGGATTCATATCATCCAGTCTCATAACTGCAGGATAATGGCTCTTGGCTCTGGACTCTGGACATGGTTTGTTAAGAGAGGACGATATCCCTTTTATTTTGAAGTGGGAGTTCATTGCACTACGAAGTCTAAGCTGGCAATTTTCTAACTATCCAGTTACTTCATCAACAACTTCTGGGGGAAGATTACGCCACTTTCCGACGCGATTTTTTCTCTCCCTGAGATCCTTTCCTCAACCAATCATATGCGGTTTTATATTTAATAACATTTGCTCCAGCAATGGCTTTCCAATCACCGCCGGTTTCTGATTCACTCAAAATGCTATTCCGACACTCACTAGATATCTTTGTGTATCATCCACGATTCCGCCGACGCTGATCTGGCTGAACCTCGACATTGTCTTCTGTTGAAATATCGCTAATCATTTATAATCTTTAACTTTACTCGCAGAAATCAATATTTATAGACCTAGCTATTTTTACCTGGATGCGCGGCGCGCGCAACACGAGGCAATGCATTTTTATTGGCTAACTAGTACAGGTGTGAAGTAATTCTTTTACACGCTGGGTATCTCCTTGTCCTTGTTCATTGCCCGTAGTCTGACAAGGATAAAATTATGCTTGATATTCAACTTGACATAGCTTGACAAGTGATCCATTTTCAAATGTTTGTGTTTTTGATTGACAAATACGTTGCACATCACGCGGTTTTCCTCCTTCCTTTTTTATCCCGTGCAAATAATAAGAACGGATTGCTATACGTAGTCTAACATAATTTGGTACGTTTTGCCTCGTCTTGCGCAATAAGCGTTCTGCGTCTTTTTCTATCTAATAAAGTTTTCGTATTATTACCTCTTTGTCTGGTAAAATAGATAGGTCTAATCAAATCATTCTACATAGAAATGAGTATTACTTTCTCCGTAATGGAATGCGCACTTTTTCCGGATTTGAGTTAGTGAAAACTGTGCGTATTCTGAAAATTTCAAACCCAGGAGATTTTGAAAAACCGGGGGTATTTTCACATAATCTCGGGAACAGAGTTGAGGCCTACAGCACAATCAGGTAAGGAACAGTAATGGGATTCCCAAGATGCAAAAGCACAAAAAGTGATTCTAACAAAAGATGGAACAAAGGACCTTTAACTCATATTTTAATCATATATTATATCACAAGACCTTTAAATTTAATCGATTAAACTATGCAACATATTTTAAGCATGGTTTCGCTTGGAAAATTTATTTATAAGTTATTGTGCATGAAACTATTTGCCAAAAAGCAAAATCATGCAAAAAATATTTGGATAGTTTAATCCATTTAAAGGACCCCGCAATATTTAAATGGAAATTGGTTACCCGTGATATTTGGATAAAATTTAAATATGTTATTGTGGATGCCGTAAGCAACATTTTTTACCCTGTGCACAACCCTGTACAAATGACAGGTGAGGCGTGGTTAGCTGTCAAATATTGGAATCTTATATCCAAAAGCAGAGTAACTATGGCAGATTTTGATGGACAAAAAATCTATTTCTACTGAGTGGACCAAGTTAAGTCAAAAAATGTCAACCATTTTCACACCTGTCAAAACTCTGCCAAATGGCAGCACTCATCTTTTCCAGTTTTCAATATTTTATGATGTCATTTGACATTTTTAACTTTTATGTAAATTCTGAATTCCAAAATTGAAAAAGAAATGACAGAGCTGTCAAAACCTGTAATTTGTTTTAGTACAAAAAAAAAAATTCTTTTTTGTTTCAAGATAGTTTATTGGTGATAAAACATTAAACAAAGTCCACGCATGTCACATTTTGACAACTGTCAGAGTCTCTTAATAGTTTTTTGGTTCATATTGAGTTTGTTTGCTTAGTGAAGTTCTACAACTATTTAGAGTGATAGAATAATACAATAATACAATAATACAATAATACAATAATACAATAATACAATAATACAATAATACAATAATACAATAATACAATAATACAATAATACAATAATACAATAATACAATAGAACTGAACCAATTTTATGCTCGTTGTAGAACTTCACTAAGCAAACAAACTCATGGCGTTACCTTATTTAAATAGCGCTTTGCCTAAAACGCGACTGGAAAAAAACAGTTATTGTTCACGATTACGAACACGTCAAGATACGGCTTGTGATGATCCAGAAATTTGACCCGATAATTACAAAGTCTTTACTGTAAAAATTAAAATTTATCAAATAATCAAAATTTAATTCCGGTATTTTTAAATCTCTATCGATAAATTAAAATGAAACAAATTAACGTTTAATATTATATTAGGTGTTTCATCATGCTTGTGTCATCTCCTAAATCAATGAACTTAAAAAGAGCAAGGCCAAGTAATTATAAATGAATTATGGCATTCTTGAACCCATAATGTCTTCGACCCCGATAAATCAGTATATTAAGACATAATTATTCGATTTTTTAGGCTAAAAATGATATAAATTTCAAGGAAATTGCATCATTCTTTTTAATAATAATGAGGTCGACCAATGGAATTCGGATTGCTACGCAAACGACCGCCTATATTGACGATTTGGGGGAAAATTAATAATTTGCGGGGAGATCGAATTAATATAAAAACCGGGGTAACAGTTGCCAGTTATCACTCCAGTTGAGTAAAAGTCTACAGAACCAAATGAGTTGGTCAGGTTGAAAATTCGCGAAGCCTCGGGGAAATACGCGTTCGAAATAGACTTTGAAAATTTTTGGAAAATCGTGAAAGTAATTACATTTGAAATTCGTTCAATATTTTATGTGCGTGCTAGCTAAATATTTTGAGTAATTAATTAAGTAATTTTATTTGCAATCATATATGCAATCTTGTCATTACTGACTTTTTAAAAATTTGGAAGTGACACTTTACCTGTGTCACTTCCCTCTTCGATTTCCCTCACCGATTTCCCTATTCGACTTCCCTCACCGATTTCCCTCACTCTAATTTATTTACCTTTGCTGGCAACAATGAAAACCAGTCAGGTAAAAACGTCAAAGCAGCGAATGACACATTTTGGCATGTTTGTTTTATTTTTTTAATATTAAAAAAATTGATTGACAGATCATAATTATTGGTGTGCTTGCAAATAAAATAGTATACAAACCTCTGAGGGAAGTTTTCATTTCTGTCTAGAGATTATTAGTCAATCTCTTGATTGACTATATAAATCTCTCGACAGTAATGAAACACTTCCCTACTCGGTATGTAATATACTATTACGTGTGTTTTATGGACAAAATGTAGAGTACAAGATTTATTTTTGATGATCATGACTTTGTGTGAATTTTACTAGAAAACTTTTGATTTTAATCACGGTGGAACTTTACTACAATAAACTTAATAACTTGAGTGTTTTATAAAGGAAACATTATCGCATAACTCAGTGGCGGCTGGCCCTAAGGGGCCAAGGGGCCGTGGCACTGGCGCAAAATATGTCGGTCCTTTTAAAATATTTTTTTTTTTTTTTTAGTTCAATAGTTATTACAATCGTCAGATCAAATTACTTATTATTTTATAATTTGATCCCGACAGAAAAATTTCTGTCGTTATTATTCCTAAATTTCCTAGACAATAATTTAAGCACTGACTAAACTAAACTCGCTAGACTATCCGTCCGAGCCCATCTCACAACGGCCCCGCTGCAACACGGCAATTACATTGGAGAAGGTCATGCCGCGCTCCCAGTAACCAGCTGTTTTTATACGTATAAACGGGGCCACCTGATCGAACGGCCCGGATTAGTTTTTGCGGCAATTTAATTAACACACAACACACAACAAGAACCTGGAACAAGCCAAGTGAGCTGGAACAAGTCTGGAAAATGTCTGGATAAATCTGGATGAAGTCTGGAAAAGTCTGGAAATCTCTGGAAAAGTCTGGAAAGAGCCTGGAAATTTCTGGAAAGGGTCGGAAAAATTCTGCCAAAGGTCCCAAAAGACCTGGGGATCATTTTCCAGAATCCGGATCAGTGTGGACAAGTCTGGATAAGGTCTGGATAAATCTGGATAAAGTCTGTAAAACTCTGGAAAACTCTGGATAAGTCTGGATATTGCCTGGAAAAGTCTGGAAATCTCTGGAAACGTCTGGAAAAGACTTGGAAATTTCTGGAAAGGCTTGGAAAATTACTGAAAAAGGTCCCAAAAGACCTGGGGATTATTTTCCAGAATCCGGATCAGTCTGAACAAGTCTGGATAAAGTCTGGATTAATCTGGATGAAGTCTGGAAAACTGGAAAGCTCTGGATAAGTCTGGATAATGTCTGGAAATCTCTGGAAACGTCTGGAAAAGGCCTGGAAATTTCTTGAAAGGGTCGGAAAAGTTCTAGAAAAGGTCCCAAAAGACCTGGGGATCATTTTCCAGAATCCGGATCAGTCTGTACAAGTCTGGATAAAGTCTGGATAAAGTCTGTAAAACTCTGGATAAGTCTGTAAAAGTCTGGAAATCTCTTGAAACGTCTGGAAAAGACTTGGAAATTTCTGGAATGGGTTGGAAAAATTCTGAAAAAAGATCCCAAAAGACCTCAGGATCATTTTCCAGAATCCGGATCAGTCTGTACAAGTATGGATTAATCTGGATGAAGTCTGGAAAACTCTGGAAAGCTCTGGATATGTCTGGATAATGTCTGGAAATCTCTGGAAACGTCTGGAAAAGGCCTGCAAATTTCTTGAGAGGGTCAGAAAAATTCTGGAAAAGGTCCCAAAAGACCTGGGGATCATTTTCCAGAATCCGGATCAGTCTGTACAAGTCTGGATAAATCTGGATGAAATCTGGAAAACTCTGGAAAGCTCTGAATAAGTCTGGATAATGTCTGGAAAAGTCTGGAAATCTCTGGGGCTGAAACGCCGAACACCAAAGAAATTTGATTTTTTTTACTGTCTCATTTGATTTGACTATCGATAGACAGTCAACGTTGACTCCAGGAATATCTTATTGATTAGATTTTTTAGCGGCGTTCCTGGCGCCATAGGGCGGCATATTTCTTTGAGCGCCTGCCGCAAAGAAATCAGTTTCGCCTGGAAAGACAGTGCAGTAGATATTTTTTATAAATTTGATTCCTATTTGATTTGTATAGTGCCTTATGTCTTATTTTATATAAAACTGTTTTATTAAATTTCTCGTACTCCGCCCGTGCTTCATTTATTATTTTGTAGAAATGGTAAATGCCCACGTTTGAATTGAGAATAAGTGAAAAAACTTTCTGAGGCGTGTTTTTTTTACAACTTTTAGATCAAAATTTGGGTTAGTTTGGGTCAGTCCAAAAAAATTTGCGCGCCTCTGGGGCTTCCCCCCTGAGTGTGTGCACCGTCAACTTTTCCTCTCACCAGCCGCCACTGGCATAACTTAATTACCTTCTGATATAATGACATTTAATGTG